TATACACCAAGAATAACAGTATTGCTGTCACACAGGCTCTAGAGACCAGGAATAACAGTATTGCTGTCACACAGGCTCTATACACCAGGAATAACAGTACTGCTGTCACACAGGCTCTAGAGACCAGGAATAACAGTATTTCTGTCACACAGGTTCTATATACCAGGAATAACAGTATTGCTGTCACACAGGCTCTTTACACCAGGAATAACAGTATTTCTGTCACACAGGCTCTAGAGACCAGGAATAACAGTATTTCTGTCACACTGGCTCTATACACCAGGAATAACATTATTTCTGTCACACAGGCTCTAGAGACCAGGAATAATAGTATTTCTGTCACACTGGCTCTAGAGACCAGGAATAACAGTATTTTTGTCACACAGGCTCTAGAGACCAGGAATAACAGTATTGCTGTCACACAGGCTCTATACACCAGGAATAACAGTATTGCTGTCACACAGGCTCTAGAGACCAGGAATAATAGTATTTCTGTCACACAGGCTCTGTATTTGTCTTACAGAATGTGTTGTATGATGTTGGAAGGCTGTATGAGTGTTGGCCAGGTGATGTTGGTCATATACTAGGACATACACTTGTTGTATGATGTTACAGGGCCGTATGAGTGTTGGCCAGGTGATGTTGGTCATATACTAGGACATACACTTGTTGTATGATGTTGGAGAGCTGTATGAGTGTTGGCCAGGTGATGTTGGTCATATACTGGGACATACACTTGTTGTATGATGTTACAGGGCCGTATGAGTGTTGGCCAGGTGATGTTGGTCATATACTAGGACATACACTTGTTGTATGATGTTGGAGGGCTGTATGAGTGTTGGCCAGGTGATGTTGGTCATATACTGGGACATACACTTGTTGTATGATGTTGGAGAGCCGTATGAGTGTTGGCCAGGTGATGTTGGTCATATACTAGGACATACACTTGTTGTATGATGTTGGAGGGCCGTATGAGTGTTGGCCAGGTGCTGTTGGTCATATACTGGGACATACACTTGTTGTATGATGTTGGAGGGCTGTATGAGTGCTGGCCAGGTGCTGTTGGTCATATACTGGGACATACACTTGTTGTATGATGTTGGAGGGCTGTATGAGTGTTGGCCAGGTGCTGTTGGTCATATACTGGGACATACACTTGTTGTATGATGTTGGAGGGCTGTATGAGTGCTGGCCAGGTGCTGTTGGTCATATACTGGGACATACACTTGTTGTATGATGTTGGAGGGCTGTATGAGTGTTGGCCAGGTGCTGTTGGTCATATACTAGGACATACACTTGTTGTATGATGTTGGAGGGCTGTATGAGTGTTGGCCAGGTGATGTTGGTCATATACTAGGACATACACTTGTTGTATGTTGGAGGGCTGTATGAGTGTTGGCCAGGTGCTGTTGGTCATATACTGGGACATACACTTGTTGTATGATGTTGGAGGGCTGTATGAGTGCTGGCCAGGTGCTGTTGGTCATATACTGGGACATACACTTGTTGTATGATGTTGGAGGGCTGTATGAGTGTTGGCCAGGTGCTGTTGGTCATATACTGGGACATACACTTGTTGTATGATGTTGGAGGGCTGTATGAGTGCTGGCCAGGTGCTGTTGGTCATATACTGGGACATACACTTGTTGTATGATGTTGGAGGGCTGTATGAGTGCTGGCCAGGTGCTGTTGGTCATATACTGGGACATACACTTGTTGTATGATGTTGGAGGGCTGTATGAGTGTTGGCCAGGTGCTGTTGGTCATATACTGGGACATACACTAGGAAAGCCAAACAACAGAAGTGGCAGCAATAACAGGATGAAACATTAGGCAGGAAACTACTGTACAAACACATACATGGTTTTTGGAATTCAAATTCACCACTTCACTGGATCCAGAAGATTGTACATGTGAAAGAGTAAAACACAGACAACATCAAATGTGTACACAAAGGCACCAGAATGGATCAGAACAGCATAAAATAACCAGGCAGTCAAACATAGAACATCATAACTGAACCACAAGTCAACAAAGAGAGGCATGGACTATGACAAATGAATTCTCTATCTCACTAACTTCTATTCTGCTTCCTATAAAACTTGCATCTGTTCACAGAGCAGATGAGGCTTCAACCCAACAAGTATCATTTACAATAAAAATATCTATTGTAGAATACTTTAAAAAAAAAAAAAAAAAACCCTCAAACAACTTTACCAGAATGCAAAGTCTGAGGATGTAAGTATTCGGGATTTATACCCCAGTGTGGCCAAACATAATAAAAGAAACAACAACAGAAAATTGTCAATTTATCAAGAACAAAACAAATCCTGGGCTGGGAAATTCAGATTAGCCCAGCTTCAACAAATATTTTTAGCTTCAGAAAATAATCTCTACAAAGAAATATGGAAACTAGTCTTTTTTTTTTTTAAATATCAAGAAATCAGAAAATAGAAAAAATAAATCAAAAATATATTTGGTAACTATAGTTCATTAAAAACTATCATCAAAAATATATTTGGTAACTATAGTTCATTAAAAACTATCATCAAAAATGGAATCAGAGCTTTATTTGATCGTTAAAATCTCCAGTTCGTATATTCTATCCAAGAAGAGGATATCCCATTCTGTAAAAATCTCCAGTTCATATATTCTATCCAACAAGAGGATATCCCATTCTGTAAATGGACAGAAAGAATTTGCTAACATTGCTAAACAATATCTATAGAATATACTCTCAAACCCAGAACACTCCATGCAAGACAGAAACATCACATGCTGCAGTTAGATTACAAATCGACACTGATGCCTAAAAATGTTGCATTTAAAAATGCAATTTCAACCAGAAATCAACTTTAAATCCAAAAATAAAGTAAAATTTACTGAAATTTCTAAACACGAACTGACTGACATATATATTTAGTAAGATAGTAGTAGCCTGTGCTGTCAGAGTAAAGCAATAGAATTTAGTCACGTTTTGAACAAGTATATACTTCTCTCCTCAACCTCTCACACAATGTTGTTTCTCTCTCTCTCTCTCTCTCCCTTGATATATATAATTTATATAATGTATGTATGTATCAGATGATTGATCAGTAAACTTTCAAAAACAATAACTGTGTCAGTAAAGTCGGCCAGATCAACTTTGTGTATTCAATACACAGACAATCTGACAATAAAAATGCTCACTTGCAACACACACAAAACATTGACTAGCTGGCTATATTTAGTTGAATAATCACTCATGCGGTGATTATGACCAATAAAATACACTCACATGGTGATATTGACCAATGAAATACACTCACACTGTGATTACGACCAATAGAATACAAATGCAGGCGGAGAAAATCAATTACTCCACTCATGAGTGACTTGTAAAGCTCTCTGCATACATGCTTGTCTGGTCAGTCATGTTTTTGCCAAAACTGACCATTTTGTTTCAAGAGCTACATGGAACTAGCACGCTGCCAAGACTCAAATTTGAACAAATCTGCAATCAAATGTAATACTGCAGACAACATCTAGCCCCAACAAGATCAGCTGGACAGAAATCTGTAATCACACTCAAACTAAACCTGATATAACCATTCTCACACCAACTGTAACCATGCTCACACCAACTGTAACCATGCTCACACCAACTGTAACCATGCTGACACCAGCTGTAACCATGCTGACACCAACTGTAACCATACTGACACCAGCTGTAACCTTGCTCACACCAACTGTAACCATACTGACACCAACTGAAACCATGCTCACACCAACTGTAACCATACTGACACCAACTGAAACCATGCTCACACCAACTGTAACCATACTGACACCAACTGAAACCATGCTCACACCAACTGTAACCATACTGACACCAACTGTAACCATACTGACACCAACTGAAACCATGCTCACACCAACTGTAACCATGCTGACACCAGCTGTAACCATGCTGACACCAACAGTAACCATGCTGACACCAACAGTAACCCTGCTGACACCAACAGTAACCCTGCTGACACCAACAGTAACCCTGCTGACACCAACAGTAACCATGCTGACACCAACAGTAACCATGCTGACACCAGCTGTAACCATGCTGACACCAGCTGTAACCATGCTGACACCAACAGTAACCCTGCTGACACCAACAGTAACCCTGCTGACACCAACAGTAACCCTGCTGACACCAACAGTAACCATGCTGACACCAACAGTAACCATGCTGACACCAGCTGTAACCATGCTGACACCAACAGTAACCATGCTGACACCAACAGTAACCCTGCTGACACCAACAGTAACCCTGCTGACACCAACAGTAACCATGCTGACACCAACAGTAACCATGCTGACACCAACAGTAACCATGCTGACACCAGCTGTAACCATACTGACACCAGCTGTAACCATGCTCACACCAACAGTAACCATGCTGACACCAACAGTAACCATGCTGACACCAACAGTAACCATGCTGACACCAACTGTAACCATGCTGACACCAACAGTAACCATGCTGACACCAACAGTAACCATGCTGACACCAACAGTAACCATGCTGACACCAACTGTAACCATGCTGACACCAACAGTAACCATGCTGACACCAACAGTAACCATGCTGACACCAACTGTAACCATGCTCACACCAACTGTAACCATACTGAAACTAACAGTAACTATGCTGACACCAACAGTAACCATGCTGACACCAACAGTAACCATGCTGACACCAACAGTAACCATTCTGACACCAACTGTAACCATGCTGACACCAACTGTAACCATACTGACACCAACAGTAACCATGTTGACACAAACTGTAACCATGCTGACACCAACTGTAACCATACTGACACCAACAGTAACCATGCTGACACCAACAGTAACCATGTTGACACAAACTGTAACCATGCTGACACCAACTGTAACCCTACTGACACCAACAGTAACCATGTTGACACAAACTGTAACCATACTGACACCAACTGTAATCATGCTCACACCGGCTTGCATGGAGCTCTGTATCTAAGATTGGATTTTTTGTATTTCGGTTTCTTGACAACCTTTTTCCTCACGTCATAATCATAACGACAGAACCATATATTGTCAGCACATGCATTCGGAGGTGGCATGGGTCTGCAGAGTTTCTTGTCATCATCTGTAATGTCCGGCATCAGTGTCCGCCATCTTGGTAAAGGTACACCTTGCTCTTGACGAGCACCTTCTGCTTCAAGCCTGCAAGAATACAAATGTACAAGATCAGTCAGTCACTAGATGTGAGCCTGCAAGAATACAAATGTACAAGATCAGTCAGTCACTAGATGTGAGAGCCTGCAAGAATACAAATGTACAAGATCAGTCAGTCACTAGATGTGAGAGCCTGCAAGAATACAAATGTACAAGATCAGTCAGTCACTAGATGTGAGAGCCTGCAAGAATACAAATGTAAATGTACAAGATCAGTCAGTCACTAGATGAGAGCCTGCAAGAATACAAATGTAAATGTACAAGATCAGTCAATCACTAGATGTGTGAGCCTGCAAGAATACAATTGTAAATGTACAAGATCAGTCAGTCACTAGATGTGAGAGCCTGCAAGAATACAAATGTACAAGATCAGTCAGTCACTAGATGAGAGCCTGCAAGAATACAAATGTAAATGTACAAGATCAGTCAGTCACTAGATGTGAGAGCCTGCAAGAATACAAATGTACAAGATCAGTCAGTCACTAGATGAGAGCCTGCAAGAATACAAATGTAAATGTACAAGATCAGTCAGTCACTAGATGTGAGCCTGCAAGAATACAAATGTAAATGTACAAGATCAGTCAGTCACTAGATGTGTGAGCCTGCAAGAATACAAATGTACAAGATCAGTCAGTCACTAGATGAGAGCCTGCAAGAATACAAATGTAAATGTACAAGATCAGTCAGTCACTAGATGTGAGCCTGCAAGAATACAAATGTAAATGTACAAGATCAGTCAGTCACTAGATGTGTGAGCCTGCAAGAATACAAATGTACAAGATCAGTCAGTCACTAGATGAGAGCCTGCAAGAATACAAATGTAAATGTACAAGATCAGTCACTAGATGAGAGCCTGCAAGAATACAAATGTAAATGTACAAGATCAGTCAGTCACTAGATGTGTGAGCCTGCAAGAATACAAATGTAAATGTACAAGATCAGTCAGTCACTAGATGTGAGCCTGCAAGAATACAAATGTAAATGTACAAGATCAGTCAGTCACTAGATGTGAGCCTGCAAGAATACAAATGTAAATGTACAAGATCAGTCAGTCACTAGATGTGTGAGCCTGCAAGAATACAAATGTACAAGATCAGTCAGTCACTAGATGAGAGCCTGCAAGAATACAAATGTAAATGTACAAGATCAGTCAGTCACTAGATGTGAGCCTGCAAGAATACAAATGTACAAGATCAGTCAGTCACTAGATGAGAGCCTGCAAGAATACAAATGTAAATGTACAAGATCAGTCAGTCACTAGATGTGAGAGCCTGCAAGAATACAAATGTAAATGTACAAGATCAGTCAGTCACTAGATGTGAGAGCCTGCAAGAATACAAATGTAAATGTACAAGATCAGTCAGTCACTAGATGTGAGAGCCTGCAAGAATACAAATGTAAATGTACAAGATCAGTCAGTCACTAGATGTGAGCCTGCAAGAATACAAATGTAAATGTACAAGATCAGTCAGTCACTAGATGAGAGCCTGCAAGAATACAAATGTAAATGTACAAGATCAGTCAGTCACTAGATGTGTGAGCCTGCAAGAATACAAATGTAAATGTACAAGATCAGTCAGTCACTAGATGTGAGAGCCTGCAAGAATACAAATGTAAATGTACAAGATCAGTCAGTCACTAGATGTGAGCCTGCAAGAATACAAATGTAAATGTACAAGATCAGTCAGTCACTAGATGTGAGCCTGCAAGAATACAAATGTAAATGTACAAGATCAGTCAGTCACTAGATGTGAGAGCCTGCAAAAATACAAATGTACAAGATCAGTCAGTCACTAGATGTGAGAGCCTGCAAGAATACAAATGTACAAGATCAGTCAATCACTAGATGTGAGCCTGCAAGAATACAAATGTACAAGATCAGTCAGTCACTAGATGTGAGCCTGCAAGAATACAAATGTAAATGTACAAGATCAGTCAGTCACTAGATGTGAGAGCCTGCAAGAATACAAATGTACAAGATCAGTCTGTCACTAGATGTGAGCCTGCAAGAATACAAATGTAAATGTACAAGATCAGTCAGTCACTAGATGTGAGAGCCTGCAAGAATACAAATGTACAAGATCAGTCAGTCACTAGATGTGAGCCTGCAAGAATACAAATGTACAAGATCAGTCAGTCACTAGATGTGTGAGCCTGCAAGAATACAAATGTACAAGATCAGTCAGTCACTAGATGTGAGAGCCTGCAAGAATACAAATGTACAAGATCAGTCAGTCACTAGATGTGAGCCTGCAAGAATACAAATGTACAAGATCAGTCAGTCACTAGATGTGCCTGGTAAAAAAACATATAAGTTAGTTGTGTATCCTTTACAGGACGTTGCACAACCAACCCCAACAGCCCCTGGCTGTTGTGTTTTTTTAAGGCAAATTTACGTCCAGTAGTTTGCCACTGCTTTCTAGATGGTCTGCTTCTTTGATACCACTGTAAAACCCAATGCAAGGCGCATGGCCCGCAGTTGGGATCGAACCCGTTATCCCGGCATTATGAAGCATTCGCATCGATTTAGCCACAGAGCCGACAAACAAACATAAACTGAACCACACATATATATATATATATATATATATAAACACACACACATACCAGTAGAAAGGTACTGGAGTAGATTACTGTTGTTAAACTGCAAATGTTTTTCTCTGGGTAAAGATTTGACATCACAGCATTCAGAACAAACCCATATTATCTCCGTCCCCCTCCTCAGCAGACAGTAAGTTCCCATACTGATGGCACCCCTTGTCATCTGGTTAACTACTTGTCTTGCCATCCCTCTGAGTCTCAAGTGACACCCAGATAGCAGCAATGGACATCGAGCAAGCAATTATGTTCACAATGTACCAGCACTTGATTATTTCGATCGTGGATTATGGACTAGGAAAGTTGTGGCAGCACTTGATCTTGAGGATGCCTACTATAGGGTCAGATATGATATTTGGATGTCTGCACTCATCGAGAAGGGGATAAACTAGCAAGATTGCAGAACTTGACACATAATCAAAGTGCTACTGGCTCCATTAGAACAGTAGCTCTTGGCTGATAGCTAAAGATAAGGGTGGGGTGCTTGTTGAAATGTTCTTTCTAAGTTCTATGGTGTCAGTTTTTAGCTCAGTTCTCAACTCTTTACCTGTAACAAGAGAAGACACAATATTTGACAAGGGAGGACACTCTCTACTTGTGACAAGGGAGGACACACTTTACCTGTGACAAGGGAGGACACTCTCTACCTGTGACAAGGGAGGACACACTTTACCTGTGACAAGGGAGGACACACTTTACCTGTGACAAGGGAGGCCACTCTCTACGCATGAGAAGGTGTGATCAAATTTTTTTTAAAGCCTAATGTTTATTACATTTGTATCAAAGGCATATCAGCAGACGTGGCAAAAATAAACAAAGCAGCTGCTGGAAAGCAGTCAACCTACCTGCAATATTCATTGTACATAAGCTGGAAAGCAGTCAACCTACCTGCAATATTCATTGTACATAAGTACAAAACATTTATCATCAATGCAAGCCACACTGTTCTCTTCTCGATGCTTGGATGCGAACAACTCCTGCTCCCCGTCCTCAGGCTCGCGCCCCACTGCAGTATGTTCGGGTTGGTAGTACCACAGCATGCTGAACATCATTTCACCTGAACACACAAGTCAGTGAATTAATGCAGCACACTGCAAGTTTACTAATGTCATCTAAACAAACAAGTCAGTGAATTAATGCAGCACACTGCAAGTTTACTAATGTCATCTAAACACACAAGTCAGTGAATGGTACTCCTGTCAAATCCGGACGAAGACTAAAAAGCCTTGGACGACTTAGTCAGAGTTCTCTCCCTTGCCCGCACTGCAAACAGTGATCAGAAAAGCCAACGAAACAAAGAAGACAGTCACGTCGACATCAGGGCTGCCAATGCTTGGTTGTTTCCCCCAGATCTGGTTTTTTTTTCGACGCTGCAGGACAATTCTGTTTTTTTTTTTGGGTGTGTTTTGTTTGTTGGTTTTTGTCGATTTGTATGCTTTAATGATCGATAAATTTGCGTGGTTAGGGGTAGGGTTTAGGGTTAGGGAGTAGGATTAGGGTTAGCGGTAGGGTTAGGTTTAGCGTTAGATTTGACAATTTTGACGCCGGAGTTCCCTGTAATTGCGCACAGTCCCATACACACACAAACAATCGAGGGCCTCTGGATGCTGGTCAAACGCACAATTCGCCAACGATTGGGGGCACCAGCCGCACGCTATTGGCGTCATATTTGGCAGAGTTTCAGTGGTGCCACTCCCACAAACATCAGATTGTCGGCCAGTATTTCGAAATCCTAAGTCAAAATTTTCACATCTAACCTTAACCCTAACCCTACCCCTAACCCTACCCCTAACTCTAAACCCTAACCCTACCCCTAACCCTAACTCTAAACCCTAACCCTACCCCTAACCCTAACCCTACCCCTAACTCTAACCCTACCCCTAACTCAAACACTACGCATCCCTACACGCAACCGTATGATGACTACGCAACCCTTCACGATGCCTCACACAACCGTACGCAACCCTGCACGCAACCGTATGATGACTACGCAACCCTTCACGATGCCTCACGCAACCGTACGCAGCCCTACACGCAACCGTAGGATGATAGGTAAGTGTGTCGTTTGTTTCGTTGGCTTTTCCGATCACTGTTTGGAGTGCGGCCAAGGGAGAGAACTCTGACTAAGTCGTCCAATGCTTTTTATTCTTCGTCCGGATTTGACAGGAGAGCCCAGTGAATTAATGCAGCACACTGCAAGTTTACTAATGTCATCTAAACACACAAGTCAGTGAATTAATGCAGCACACTGCAAGTTTACTAATGTCATCTAAACACACAAGTCAGTGAATTAATGCAGCACACTGCAAGTTTACTAATGTCATCTAAACAAACAAGTCAGTGAATTAATGCAGCACACTGCAAGTTTATTAATGTCATCTAAACACACAAGTCAGTGAATTGATACAGCACATTGAACATTTACTAATATTATCCAAAAACACAAGTCAGTGAACTTATACAGCACATTGAACGTTTACTAATATTATCTAAACACAAGTCAGTGAATTCATACAGCACACTGCAAGTTTACTGATATTTTCTAAACAAACAAGTCAGTGAATTGATACAACACACTGCAAGTTTACTGATATTTTCTAAACAAACAAGTCAGTGAATTGATACAACACACTGCAAGTTTACTGATATTTTCTAAACAAACAAGTCAGTGAATTGATACAACACACTGCAAGTTTACTGATATTTTCTAAACAAACAAGTCAGTGAATTGATACAACACACTGCAAGTTTACTGATATTTTCTAAACAAACAAGTCAGTGAATTGATACAACACACTGCAAGTTTACTGATATTTTCTAAACAAACAAGTCAGTGAATTGATACAACACATTGAACATTTACTAATGTCATCTAAACAAGTTCACTAACACACCCAGTTTACAAATCAGTGAATTCTGAAACAAATATCAAGTTCACTAACACATCCAATATATAAGTCATAGATAAAGGCACATATGACTGACACAGACAAAGGCAGAGAGAAAGCTGGGCAAGAATGCATTTTAAATAAGCACCTACTATTAATGTTTTCCCAGAGTGCACTAACTTTGGCAACAAAGGGGATGCTGCCATCGCCATCCGAATGAAGAATGACGCAATCACGGACAGAAACTATCTCTCCAGATGTGTGTTTCATCGAATGATAGCATTTGCGTATTCTAACTGGCTCTTCCTTGCCCTGAAAATAAATGAAAGAAAAAATACTAGCATTCACAAGCTACAAGCTTCATCAATCCCTTCAACACCTGACTACACTACACACTGTTACTGTAAGGATATTCACTTGGAAATACTATCCACTGTTACAGTAAGGATATTCTCTTAAATATACCACCCACTGTTCCAGTAAGGATATTCTCTTGAATATACCACCCACTGTTACAGTAAGGATATTCTCTCCACTGTTACAGTAAGGATATTCTCTCCACTCTTACAGTAAGGATATTCTCTCCACTCTTCCAGTAAGGATATTCTCTCCACTCTTACAGTAAGGATATTCTCTCCTTACAGTAAGGATATTCTCTCCACTCTTACAGTAAGGATATTCTCTCCACTCTTACAGTAAGGATATACTCCTGGATATACCACCCACTCTTACAGTAAGGATATACTCTTGGATATACCACCCATTATTACAGTAAGGATAGTCTCTTGGATATACGACCCACTCTTACAGTAAGGATATTCTCTCCACTGTTACAGTAAGGATATTCTCTCCACTCTTACAGTAAGGATATTCTCTCCACTCTTCCAGTAAGGATATTCTCTCCACTCTTACAGTAAGGATATTCTCTCCTTACAGTAAGGATATTCTCTCCACTCTTACAGTAAGGATATTCTCTCCACTCTTACAGTAAGGATATACTCCTGGATATACCACCCACTCTTACAGTAAGGATATACTCTTGGATATACCACCCATTATTACAGTAAAGATAGTCTCTTGGATATACGACCCACTCTTACAGTAAGGATATTCTCTCCACTCTTACAGTAAGGACATTCTCTCCATCTTACAGTAAGGATATTCTCTCCACTCTTACAGTAAGGATATTCTCTCCACTCTTACAGTAAGGATATTCTCTCCACTGTTACAGTAAGGATATTCTCTCAACTCTTACAGTAAGGATATTCTCTCCACTCTTACAGTAAGGATATTCTCTCCACTCTTACAGTAAGGATATTCTCTTGGATATACGACCCACTCTTACAGTAAGGATATACTCTTGGATATACGACCCACTCTTACAGTAAGGATATACTCTTGGATATACGACCCACTGTTACAGTAAGGATATACTCTTGGATATACCACCCACTGTTACAGCAAGGATATACACTCTTGGATATACCACCCACTGTTACAGTAAGGGTATACTCTTGGATATACCACCCACTGTTACAACAAGGATATACTCTTGGATATACCACCCACTGTTACAGCAAGGATACACTCTTGGATATACGACCCACTCTTACAGTAAGGATATACTCTTGGATATACCACCCACTGTTACAGCAAGGATACACTCTTGGATATACGACCCACTCTTACAGTAAGGATATACTCTTGGATATACCACCCACTGTTACAGCAAGGATATACTCTTGGATATATGACCCACTCTTACAGTTAGGATATACGACCCACTCTTACAGTTAGGATATACGACCCACTCTTACAGTTAGGATATACGACCCACTCTTACAGTTAGGATATACGACCCACTCTTACAGTTAGGATATACGACCCACTCTTACAGTTAGGATATACGACCCACTCTTACAGTAAGGATATACTCTTGGATATACGACCCACTCTTACAGTAAGGATATACTCTTGGATATACGACCCACTGTTACAGTAAGGATATACTCTTGGATATACCACCCACTGTTACAGCAAGGATACACTCTTGGATATACCACCCACTGTTACAGCAAGGATATACTCTTGGATATACCACCCACTGTTACAGTAAGGGTATACTCTTGGATATACCACCCACTGTTACAACAAGGATATACTCTTGGATATACCACCCACTGTTACAGCAAGGATACACTCTTGGATATACGACCCACTCTTACAGTAAGGATATACTCTTGGATATACCACCCACTGTTACAGCAAGGATACACTCTTGGATATACGACCCACTCTTACAGTAAGGATATACTCTTGGATATACCACCCACTGTTACAGCAAGGATACACTCTTGGATATACGACCCACTCTTACAGTTAGGATATATGACCCACTCTTACAGTTAGGATATACGACCCACTCTTACAGTTAGGATATACGACCCACTCTTACAGTTAGGATATACGACCCACTCTTACAGTTAGGATATATGACCCACTCTTACAGTTAGGATATATGACCCACTCTTACAGTTAGGATATACGACCCACTCTTACAGTTAGGATATACGACCCACTCTTACAGTAAGGATATACTCTTGGATATACGGCCCACTCTTACAGTTAGGATATACGACCCACTCTTACAGTAAGGATATACTCTTGGATATACGACCCACTCTTACAGTAAGGATATACTCTTGGATATACGACCCACTGTTACAGTAAGGATATACTCTTGGATATACCACCCACTGTTACAGCAAGGATACACTCTTGGATATACCACCCACTGTTACAGCAAGGATATACTCTTGGATATACCACCCACTGTTACAGTAAGGGTATACTCTTGGATATACCACCCACTGTTACAACAAGGATATACTCTTGGATATACCACCCACTGTTACAGCAAGGATACACTCTTGGATATACGACCCACTCTTACAGTAAGGATATACTCTTGGATATACCACCCACTGTTACAGCAAGGATACACTCTTGGATATACGACCCACTCTTACAGTAAGGATATACTCTTGGATATACCACCCACTGTTACAGCAAGGATACACTCTTGGATATACGACCCACTCTTACAGTTAGGATATATGACCCACTCTTACAGTTAGGATATACGACCCACTCTTACAGTTAGGATATACGACCCACTCTTACAGTTAGGATATACGACCCACTCTTACAGTTAGGATATATGACCCACTCTTACAGTTAGGATATATGACCCACTCTTACAGTTAGGATATACGACCCACTCTTACAGTTAGGATATACGACCCACTCTTACAGTAAGGATATACTCTTGGATATACGGCCCACTCTTACAGTAAGGATATACTCTTGGATATACGACCCACTCTTACAGTAAGGATATACTCTTGGATATACGACCCACTGTTACAGTAAGGATATACTCTTGGATATACCACCCACTGTTACAGCAAGGATATACTCTTGGATATACCACCCACTGTTACAGCAAGGATACACTCTTGGATATACCACCCACTGTTACAGCAAGGATATACTCTTAGATATACCACCCACTGTTACAGTAAGGGTATACTCTTGGATATACCACCCACTGTTACAACAAGGATATACTCTTGGATATACCACCCACTGTTACAGCAAGGATACACTCTTGGATATACGACCCACTCTTACAGCAAGGATATACTCTTGGATATACCACCCACTGTTACAGCAAGGATACACTCTTGGATATACGACCCACTCTTACAGTAAGGATATACTCTTGGATATACCACCCACTGTTACAGCAAGGATACACTCTTGGATATACGACCCACTCTTACAGTTAGGACATACGACCCACTCTTACAGTTAGGATATACGACCCACTCTTACAGTTAGGATATACGACCCACTCTTACAGTTAGGATATACGACCCACTCTTACAGTTAGGAAATACGACCCACTCTTACAGTTAGGATATACGACCCACTCTTACAGTTAGGATATACAACCCACTCTTACAGTAAGGATATACGACCCACTCTTACAGTTAGGATATACGACCCACTCTTACAGTTAGGATATACGACCCACTCTTACAGTTAGGATATACGACCCACTCTTACAGTTAGGATATACGACCCACTCTTACAGTTAGGATATACGACCCACTCTTACAGTTAGGATATACGACCCACTCTTACAGTTAGGATATACGACCCACTCTTACAGTTAGGATATACGACCCACTCTTACAGTTAGGATATACGACCCACTCTTACAGTTAGGATATACGACCCACTCTTACAGTTAGGATATACGACCCACTCTTACAGTAAGGATATACTCTTGGATATACAACCCACTCTTACAGTTAGGATACACGACCCACTCTTACAGTTAGGATATTCTTTTGTCCACTTGTGTTTTAGCAAAATGCCCAGTGTGGATTTCTCCACCCAAATCAACAGTGTGGCAACAACCCAAGGATCAAACCCAAGCCATCATGGTAGCACAAAGATGTAGAATTGCTCACCACAGAAACACATCCTCTATGATTCGAACATTGAGGAGAACTGGCTTATTAACAGCATTGTGTCCCAAAAGTTTAGATATTTTAGCCATGTTAAATGGCTAGACAGCCAAGGAAAATGGTGATGGAGTGCAAACAAGGCAGAGGTAAACCTGAATGAATGTGGATAGATAAGACTGCTGACACATTGGCTATGAAAGCATCTAAAACTGGTGAACTGGCTAGAGACAGAAACTTTCTGGTGTGGCGACACATTGGTTATGACAGCATCTAAAACTGGTGAACTGGCTAAAGACAGAGAGACTTTCTGATGTGATGGCACACTGGCTATGAGAGCATCTAAAACTGGCTAACTGGCTGGAGACAGAGACTTTTTGGTGTGACAACACACTGGCTATTAAAGCATCTAACACTGGTAAACTGGCTAGAGACAGAGAGACTTCCTGGTGTGATGACACATTGGCTATGACAGCATCTAAAACTGGTGAACTGGCTAAAGACAGAGAGACTTCCTGGTGTGACGACACATTGGCTATGACAGCATCTAAAACTAGTGAACTGGCTAGAGACAGAGAGACTTTCTGGTGTGACGGCACACTGGCTATGAGAGCATTTAAAACTGGCTAACTGGCTAAAGACAGAGAGACTTTCTGATGTGACAACACTCTGGCTATGAAGGCATCTAAAACTGGTGAACTGGCTAAAGACAGAGAGACTTCCTGGTGTGACGACACACTGGCTATGAGAGCATCTAAAACTGGTGAACTGGCTAAAGACAGAGAGACTTCCTGGTGTGACGACACACTGGCTATGAGAGCATCTAAAACTGGTGAACTGGCTAAAGACAGAGAGACCTCCTGGTGTGACGACACATTGGCTATGACAGCATCTAAAACTGGTGAACTGGCTAGAGACAGAGAGACTTCCTGGTGTGACGACACATTGGCTATGAGAGCATCTAAAACTGGTGAACTGGCTAGAGACAGAAAGACTTCCTGGTGTGACGACACATTGGCTATGACAGCATCTAAAACTGGTGAACTGGCTAGAGACAGAGAGACTTCCTGGTGTGACGACACACTGGCTATGAGAGCATCTAAAACTCATGAACTGGCTAGAGACAGAGAGACTTCCTGGTGTGCTGAGGCCAGAGTGATATTGTATAAAGAATCTGCAAACTGATGATGTGATTGTCAATACGCAGTCTCCATCGACAGTCTCAGACAAAGCATTATCTTCGTAGCACCAGTAACATTCCCACATCAGTATTAAAATAATGTGCACTTAAGGCTACACAGCACAAACTAGACATAATCTTCTGACCCTCAAAGGGTCTAGAGAACTATACTTGTGTGATGACAAATCACATACATACACAAAAGTAGCAGACAGACGAGAGTGCAAAACTTTCTGTAGGACTTGACTGATTAGGTTTAGTGTGATGTGTGGGGTGTGAGTGAGGTGTGGGTGTCAGGTGTGAGGTGTGGGGTGTGAGTGAGGTGTGGGTGTCAGGTGTAAGGTGTGAGTGAGAGGTGGACATCAGGTGTGAGGTGTGGGTGTCAGGTGTGGGGTGTGAGTGAGAGGTGGATGTCAGGTGTGAGGTGTGATATGTGGGGTGTGAGTGAGAGGTGAGTGTCAGGTGTGAGTGAGAGGTGGGTGTCAGGTGTGAGGTGTGATATGTGAGTGAGAGAGGTGGGTGTCAGGTGTGATATGTGAGTGAGAGAGGTGGGTGTCAGGTGTGATATGTGGGATGTGAGTGAGGTGGGTGTCAGGTGTGAGTGAGAGGTGGGTGTCAGGTGTGAGGTGTGATATGTGGGATGTGAGTGAGAGGTGGGTGTCAGGTGTGAGGTGTGATATGTGGGATGTGAGTGAGAGGTGGGTGTGGGATGTGAGTGAGAGGTGGGTGTGGGATGTGAGTGAGAGGTGGGTGTCATGTGTGATATGTGGGGTGTGAGTGAGAGGTGGGTGTCAGGTGTGAGGTGTGATATGTGGGGTGTGAGTGAGGTATGGGGTGTTAGATGTGTGTCAGGTGTGAGATGTGGGGTGTGAGTGGGGTGTGAGGTGGGTGTCAGGTGTGACATGTGGGGTGTGAGGTGTCAATGGAAAGCTAGAGTTTGCTGCTGCCCTTTAAACACAATGGGACCCTTGTGACCCCAGGACTGGGTGATAAGTGCTGACTGACCCCAATACTGTAGGATGAGGGTCAAGTGACACCAGTAATGTGTAAATGCTGACTGACCCCAGAACAGTGTGATAAGACTTAGCTAACCCCAGAACTGTGTGGTGAGTGCTGACTAACCCCAGTGTCGTGTGGTGAGTGCTGACTGACCCCAGTGTCGTGTGGTGAGTGCTGACTGACCTCAGTCTCATGTGGTGAGGGCTGACTGTCCCAGTACTGTGTGGTGAGGGCTGACTGACCCCAGTCTCATGTGGTGAGTGCTGACTAACCCCAGTCTCATGTGGTGAGTGCTGACTAACCCCAGTCTCATGTGGTGAGTGCTGACTAACCCCAGTCTCATGTGGTGAGTGCTGACTAACCCCAGTCTCATGTGGTGAGTGCTGACTAACCCAAGTCTCATGTGGTGAGTGCTGACTGACCTCAGTCTCATGTGGTGAGGGCTGACTAACCCCAGTCTCATGTGGTGAGTGCTGACAAACCCCAGTCTCATGTGGTGAGTGGACAAACCCCAGTACTGTGTGGTGAGGGCTGACTGACCCCAGTACTGTGTGGTGAGGGCTGACTGACCCCAGAACTGTGTGGTGAGTGCTGACTAACCCAAGTCTCATGTGGTGAGTGCTGACTGACCCCAGTCTCATGTGGTGAGTGCTGACTGACCTCAGTCTCATGTGGTGAGGGCTGACTAACCCCAGACTCGTGTGGTGAAGGCTGACTAACCCCAGTCTCATGTGGTGAGTGCTGACTAACCCCAGTCTCATGTGGTGAGTGCTGACTGACCTCAGTCTCATGTGGTGAGTGCTGACAAACCCCAGTACTGTGTGGTGAGGGCTGACTGACCCCAGAACTGTGTGGTGAGGGCTGACTGACCCCAGTACTGTGTGGTGAGGGCTGACTGACCCCAGAACTGTGTGGTGAGGGCTGACTGACCCCAGTACTGTGTGGTGAGGGCTGACTGACCCCAGAACTGTGTGGTGAGGGCTGACTGACCCCAGAACTGTGTGGTGAGTGCTGACTGACCTCAGTCTCATGTGGTGAGTGCTGACTGACCTCAGTCTCATGTGGTGAGGGCTGACTTACCCCAGAACTGTGTGGTGAGGGCTGACTGACCCCAGTACTGTGTGGTGAGGGCTGACTAACCCCAGTCTCATGTGGTGAGTGCTGACTGACCCCAGTACCATGTGGTGAAGGCTGACTGACCCCAGTACTGTGTGGTGAGAGCTGACTGACCCCAGTACTGTGTGATAAGACCTAGCTGCTCCAGTACTGTGTGATGAGGGCTGACTGACCTGTCTCATGTGGGTGGTGCTGACTAACCACAGTACCATGTTATAAGACCTAGCTGACCCAGTACTGTGTGATGAGAACTATCTGACCCAAGTACTGTATGGTGAGACTTATCTGACCCAAGTACCGTGTAATGAGACCTATCTTACCTAAGTACTGTATGGTGAGACCTATCTGACCTCAGTACTGTATGGTGAGACCTATCTGACCTCAGTACTGTGTGGTGATACCTATCTGACCTCAGTACTGAATGGTAATACCTATCTGACCTCAGTACTGTGAGGTGATACCTATCTGACCGCAGTACTGTGTGATCAGACATATCTGACCCCAGTACTGTATGGTGAGACGTATCTGACCTCAGTACTGTATGGTGCTACCTATCTGACTCCAGTACTGGGTGGTGAGTCTTATATGACCCCAGTATAGTGTGATGGGACATATCCGACTCCAGTAATGGGTGGTGAGTCCTATATGACCCCAGTACAGTGTGATGAGACATATCTGACTCCAGTACTGGGTGGTGAGTCCTATATGACCCCAGTAAAGTGTGATGAGACATATCTGACTCCAGTACTGGGTGGTAAGTCCTATATGACCCCAGTACAGTGATGAGACATATCTTTGACTTCAGTACTGGGTGGTGAGTCCTATATGACCCCAGTACTATGTGATCAGACATGGTAGATTCTACTATTAGGTGATGTGACCTGTAAACTATCTGTTTTATATACAGCGGAACCGACTCATACAGTGTATTCTCTGGAAACTGACTCATTCAGTGCATTCTCTGTGAAATTACTAATAGATATCCAGTGTGTTGTCTTTAATGAAAAAATTTGGTTTCTAAAATTAACCTAGGACAAATGAATGTGTTGATGTGTGATGTGTATATGTCATGGGATGTGTATATGTCATGTGATGTGTATGTCTATATGTCATGTGACAGGTATTGATGTTAACAAATATTTATAACAGCAAACTCACGGGTGTCAGTTTTGGGATGGGTCTCATCTCGCCCTCATCAACCCATGACCAACCATGGTTGGTGTTGACTTTTGCTGGTGTCTGGGGCCATACTGGTTGGCTTTTTATTTTCTTCAAAGGCTTTTTTGGCTTAGAGCTACCTCCTAATGTTGCTTTTTTGGCAACTGATTTGTTTTTTGTTTCCTTATCTGAAACAGTTTTGTTCTCTTCATCAGTGGAAGTCGCTTGCAGCTTGGCCGGGATGTCACTGGCTGAACCATCATGCTGGGATTTGAGAATGATGCATTTGGAACTTGCAGAAGTCTGAGGTTTCACACAGTTTTGTTTCTTTTCTTTCTTTAAATCAGCTGGTTTTGTTTGTTCAATTACTTTTTCGTTGGCCTTATCCTTCTGCTTGACTTTCATCTTCTGCTGTTGTGTTGGAATGTGTGAAGAGGATATTTTTGGTTTACCGACAAGGCTGACTTTCTTCTGGCTGTCTGCTACAGCTGTGTCAGAGGTTAGAGATTCAGCATCATCCGCAGACTTTGCTTTCACCAACCTGGCCAGGGGCTCATCGTCCGAAGACCCATCTGTGTCGTCAATAATGATTACAGTGCTTGCAGACTTCTGCTTGTCACATTTCTCTTCAGTTTTCACAGCCTGATTGCTATTTAAGGTGCGTTTCTCATCACGGACCTCAGTATTTTGATGTATGTTATTTGGGGGAGTCTCTCTGGCCTCTTTAGAGCCTGATCCACCACTAGACCCTGCAGCTGCAGCAAAGCAAACAAAAGCAGACTGAGGCTGCTCTGCAATTTTCTGTTCAAAGTTGTTCAAAACATTGGCCAGATGAGGGCCTGTGCAGACTTTTGGCTCAGGTTCTGACTTAACTTTACAAGCTGGCATATCCAGGATTGAGGAGACAGAGTATGATGTGCTGAAAGAGCTGTGACCAAGCAGGCTCAGCTTGGATGGGCTACAGCTGCCAACCATGGAGTCAGCCGCTGATCCTTGGGTGTGATGAAATTCTCGAATATTATCCATGGAGTTCAATCCATCTATCTGGTACATGGTGCTGTGAGCACTGTGCAGCAGATCGGAGATGTCTGACCCTTCAGAGTGTGTTCTAGAAGAACCCTGTGACCTTGGCGGGAGGTCATTATTGCACACAGAATTTTTACTGATCAAATCACAGTCAAAAGATGAGGATGAATCATCGTGTTCCTTTTTACAGGGGGAGAAAGATTTGGTGAGCCCATTGCAGGTGACGGAGTACCTGAAGGGAGGGTTGATGGGGTGGTCCCTGGCCAGCTGGTGGTGTGGCAGACATGAAGCAAACACCGGCATCTGTTCACGTGCACTGCCCTGGTGATGGATAAAGCTGGGAGGAAAGTCCAAGGCGGGTGACCTGGGTATCGACTGCACTCCAGTAGGATTCATTGACCTCAGTGATTCCATGGGAGAAACTGGTGGCATTGAATGATGGGGCATTGAATGATGGGGCATTGGTGGCTGCCTAAGTGGTGGGGGATGTGGTACCATTGGTGTCGGTCTGTGGGCAGGAGGTGGCGGTGGAAGAGCAGGAGGAGGCATACATGAAGACTCTGGCCCCATATTGGGTAATGGAGGGTAATGGGTATACTCATGCTGGTATGACTCCAGCTGACCTATGTCCGCAGGGATCTGGCGCTGAGTTAGAACCGGGTTGGGAACCAGCGGGTACTGCTGGTGTATGGGCACTGCCTGCATGGTGGCCATGTTCTGCTGGGGAAGGGTCTGCATGGGGGCTGGGTAGTAGGCACTGTAGTTAAATCCTGTGGAGGGAAACAGCACATTTAATGAGGACATCATCTAAAGAAAACAGAGAATCAAACTGTTCCTTGCTACAAACATTGTTCTGACAAACTGTTTCTTGCTACAATCACTGTTCTGGCAAACTGTTTCTTGCTACAATCACTGTTCTGACAAACTGTTCCTTGCTACAATCACTGTTCTGGCAAACTGTTCCTTGCTACAATCACTGTTCTGGCAAACTGTTTCTTGCTACAATAACTGTTCTGGCAAACTGTTTCTTGCTACAATAACTGTTCTGGCAAACTGTTCCTTGCTACAATAACTGTTCTGGCAAACTGTTCCTTGCTACAATAACTGTTCTGGCAAACTGTTCCTTGCTACAATAACTGTTCTGGCAAACTGTTCCTTGCTACAATAACTGTTCTGGCAAACTGTTCCTTGCTACAATCACTGTTCTGGCAAACTGTTCCTTGCTACAATCACTGTTCTCATTAGGCAAGTTGGAGTTCTTTCTCTCTGTTGCTGTGATTACAATAATGTTGTTGGTACAGTAAGACATGTTTACATGATACAGACGCTGACATGATACAGATGCTGAAGAATCTCTGATGTCAACATGACTGCATGACCTGGGAGTAGAGCATGGTGAAGCATCTCTACGCCACCTTCAAAGGCAAGATAGGAGACATTATTATAACCAACTTCTCATAGGAACAATCGGTTTCGCCTATTGTGACAGCTGCATAGAAAGACTAAGCACACATGAAACACACAATGTGCAGTGACAACGATTTTAGCAAAGATAAAATATACAGAGCTTCACAACTTGATGATGTCAGCTGACCAGCTTCTGTCCCCACTGTAGTATTACATTTTTACAGTACCCTGAAATGTCACAGCTCAACTTCAGGTTGCTTGCATGGCTTCCGTCACCAGAGCAACCACTGATGATAACTGCCCACATCTTTAGCCCAACAACTCCCCAGACAAACCACTGATGATAACTGCCCACATCTTTAGCCCAACAACTCCCCAGAGCAACCACTGTTGATAACTGCCCACATCTTTAGCCCAACAACTCCCCAGAGCAACCACTGATGATAACTGCCCACATCTTTAGCCCAACAACTCCCCAGAGCAACCACTGTTGATAACTGCCCACATCTTTAGCCCAACAACTCCCCAGAGCAACCACTGATGATAACTGCCCACATCTTTAGCCCAACAACTCCCCAGAGCAACCACTGTTGATAACTGCCCACATCTTTAGCCCAACAACTCCCCAGAGCAACCACTGATGATAACTGCCCATATCTCCATGTATCAAATGATAATTCCTGCAAATGTCACAACACCAGTTTCACTGTGGAGGTGATTCATGCAGCAACTGTCATAAATCATCAGAGAATGAGCTTGTCATAAATAAATAATGTGACAAAGACCAGGGAGAGCACACAACAAATACATGAATGGAACTATTGACTATCTGAACATAAAGCCAGTATTTCTTCAATATTTATGTTGTCATTCCACAATGTGCCTACCGAGTCTGCAATAGTGCATGCAGCTGAAAACTATTGACTGCTGTCTTCTTTTGGCAAATCCATGGTTAAATGGAAGTGCACTCACTCACTCACTGCCTTGAAAGTCGTGTACTTGTGTGAGTTTCAATGAGCATGCTTCAATGTGTGTGAGTTTCAGTGAGCATGCTTCAATGTGTGTGAGTTTCAATGTTTGCATTTATAAAATAACAAAACTTTCAAGCTAATTTTTCATCAAAGGACAAAACATCTCTGGGAGATTAAGGCCAGAAAAAGCAAATACACACATAATAACATCAGGTATATAAATAACATTTAACAATAGAGACACCATCTACATTCTAACAGAAGACAGTGATATTACACAATCACTTTGGTGACATTTACATGTTTTAGTAACCTGGACTAAAACCCTGGCACTCGAATACACAATGTGAGAAAACTCAAAGATGTTCTTCCACAACAAAAGTTCACAAAAAGCACTTACCTAACTGTTGCATAGGTAAATGTAAGGACGTGTTGTATGGTGCCGGCGGGTATGGGTTCATTCCCCTGCGGCCCAGGCTGAGACTGCCCATGTGGTTGAGGGTATACGTTGGAGTGTAGTCTCTGTGAGCAACCTCGCTGCTGCCGTACGGCATCGGAGAAGGACTAGGAGGGACATATAGTCCTCCCTGAGGTCGGTCCATGGCATACTGGTAAATGTAAGTGGGGCTTGGAGTATATGGGGTCACTTTGATGGGCTGTGGATGAGAGTGAGCATGGGGCTGCGGATAGATGGGCTGGGCAACTGGGTGGTGGATGAAGCTGCTGGTGATAGTGGCTCTCTGGTTCACAGGAAACTGTGGTACCGGCGTGGCTGCTCGGCATGGCTGCGGTTTCACGGGCGAGGAGGTAAGGGGCTTCTCAGGCTTGTCCACTTCTTTATCTGGTTTTTCCTTGGCTGAGGAAGGCACCACCAGCTTCTTGGGGTCATGAGTGACTGGTGGGGATTCCTGATAAGCTGCAGGTACGGAGCAACTTTCAACATCTACATGACCAGGAAAATCCTCCTTTTGTGCACGAAGATACTCCTTCAATAACCTACTATCGCCAATTTGATGGAGTGTTCGCAGAAGTGTGTTATGAAGAGACTCACTCTCTGCCACAGCCAGACCATCACTGCGAGACTCCAAATCCACAACACCCACGGATGTTCCATCATCTTTAGAAAGCTGCTGCCCATCAGAATTCCTCATTTTTTTGCCTTGGAATATATTTCCAAAGCCAGTGAACCAGTGAATTCTTCTAGTCTCACTCTGAGTCAGTGAATGCAGCTCCATCCAATCATAAACTGTTGTTCTGGCTGCAAAACCTGGCACAGTCTCTTCTTCTTGACCCATAGCAATCATGGCCTTGGCCACCAGACTTGCCTGCCGCGGACACTTCTCGATGATGTTACACAGTTGGTGGCCTGGCGGTAAAGCCTTTCGGGATCTTTTCCCCAGCCTGTTTCTAGGCTTTACGGGAGACTTCTTGTCAACTTTACGAACCTTAGCTGAGGGTTCTTCCTTGAAAATTTTATATCCTGGACTCTTTCGCTTTCTGCAACTGCTGTCTGAAGGTTTTGATTTTATAACTGCCTTCTTGTTATCATGTTTGCCTGGTGATTTTTTCCACTCAGGAGATGATTCACAATCCTTTTCTTTAACAGGACTGCGTTCTTTAACTGCCTCATCTGATCTTTTCTTCTTCTTGGCTCTGATGGTGTTGCTGGCCTCTGTGATGTTCCCTTTCCCAGAGACAGTATCTGTGACATTGTTATCTGGTTTTATGCCATGAGCACCAGTTTCACTTTTCTTTGGAGATGACCTTGGAGATTTGGAAGGAGACTGTTTTTCGTAAAGTATATTGACTTTCATGCTGGCATTCAAGCTGGCTTCTCTCTTCCCCATGCTGGCCAGAGCCCACAGATCAAGGAAGCTGTCTGCACCAGACTGCTTCAATGTTTTCCTTCTGGTTGCCCCCTTCTCATTCTTTTGTGATTTAGTTTTAACACCTGTTCGAGATGTTTTCAGGGCAATCTGTTTATGACCAGTGGTTCCATCATCTCCTGGTTTTTTCGGGGATACATTTGTAGGTTTTGCTGATGCAGCCATTCTAGCGCTAGATTTGACCTTCTCTGTGTTGCCAGAGATGCCCTTGTGACACGGGGAAGATGCCATAACTTTTGGAGACTTGTCTCTTGTTCTGTTGGCCACACATTTTCCTGATGAAGCCCGCAGTTTTATGGGAGCCCTCTTGACCAATACTTTTTTTGGTAACGTTTTTGTTGATCTGGCTGCATCCTTGTCTGGTGATTTTGTTTCTCTGCTGTGTCCTTGACTGGCTGATTTGCTCTTCATGTTTCTTTTAGGTGCAGACGTACTCAACAAACCAATGGCTGTTCAAAGGGTCAGCATCTTTGTTTGAAAGTCTAGGAGAAAAAATCAACACAATTTACCAATTAAACATATCACTGTTTCATAAAAAAATGCAGTAATTCAACTTTCAATATCCTATGAAGAGTGATGCATTCATTGAGACTAAAAGAGTTTACTTCTGTTTCCAGATAATGCTGCAATTTACCACCCACTCTGAAAAGGAATGGCAAATATTGACCGTCTGCATTTGCTCATTCATCCTGTGAATCTGGACTAACAGTCAGCAAAGAAGAAGACAAAGGTTACGGTGCAAGGTTTTAATGACTGATCTGCAGTCTGCATTGACGGCGAAGTGCTGGAGACAGTTGACCACTTTACCATGTCCGAGATCCACGGTGCTGAAGACGTTTGACCATTTTACTATGTCCAGGATCCACAGTGCTAAGGACAGTTGACCATTTTACCATGCCCAGGATCCACAGTGCTGGAGACAATTGACCATTTTACCATGTCTGGGATCCACGGTGCTGGAGACAATTGACCATTTTACCATGTCCGGGATCCACAGTGCTGGAGACAATTGACCATTTTACCATGTCCTGGATCCATAGTGCAGGAGACAATTGACCATTCCGGGATCCACAGTGCAGGAGACAATTGACCATTTTACCATGTCCGGGATCCATAGTGCAGGGGACAATTGACCATTTTACCATTCTGGGATCCACAATGCAGGGAACAATTGACCATTTTACCATGCCCGGGATCCACAGTGCAGGGGACAATTGACCATTTTACCATGCCCAGGATCCACAGTGCAGGGGACAATTGACCATTTTACCATGTCTAGGATCCACAGTGCTAAGGACAGTTGACCATTTTACCATGCCCGGGATCCACAGTGCTGGAGACAATTGACCATTTTACCATGTCCGGGATCCACAGTGCTGGAGACAATTGACCATTTTACCATGTCTGGGATCCACAGTGCTGGAGACAATTGACCATTTTACCATGTCCAGGATCCACAGTGCTGTAGACAATTGACAATTTTACCATGTCCTGGATCCATAGTGCAGGGGACAATTGACCATTTTACCATTCTGGGATCCACAGTGCAGGGGACAATTGACCATTTTACCATGTCCAGGATCCATAGTGCAGGAGACAATTGACCATTTTACCATGTCTAGGATCCACAGTGCAGGGGACAATTGACCATTTTACCATGTCTAGGATTCCAAGGTGCAGGAGACAATTGACCATTTTACCATGTCCGGGACTCACAGTGCAGGAGACAATTGACCATTTTACCATGCCCGGGATCCACAGTGCAGGAGACAATTGACCATTTTACCATGTCTAGGATCCACAGCAAATATAACAAACTATCGTTAGACCAGGAAATCAACATCAGGATAGGTAAGGCAGCAACAACAATGAGTAGATTGACAAACAGAGAGTGGGAAAACAGAAAGCTCATGACAACAATAACAAAACACCACCCAAAAACTAACTTTTGCTTGTGTTCTCAGCACGCTTCTTGATGGTAATGAAACTTTGCTGCATCTTGAGAAATGGCTAAATAGTTTTCACATGTGATGTCTAAGAAGAATACTTGCCATTAAATGACAGGACAAGATCATTAATACTGAGGTATTGGAAAGAGCAGGCATTTCAAGTTTTCTCAATGTGTAGTCTCAAAAATCTCAGGTGGCTGGGTCACGCTTGGAGAATGGAGGATGGTAGAGTCCCTAACCTAAAGACATCCTCTATGGTGAGCTACAGATGGGTAGAAGATATCAAAGCTAGCCTCTACTACAATACTACATGAATGATACAGGAAGTGAAGTAGACTCCTAATAAACTGCCATAGACTTGTGTTTTTTTTAAGGGAAAAAAATCAAAATAGGGAAAAACATTATTGCTGAAAGGCTGAGAGCTGAGCTGTGTTTGCTGACATTCCCTGGTCATTGTGATGTAAAAACATGTATGCCGACATTTCCTGGTCCATGTGTTGTATAGTACGTGTAGCTGACATTCCCTGGTCCATGTGTTGTATCGTATGTGTATGCTGACATTCCCTGGTCCCTTATGTATAATACGTGTATGCTGACATTCCCTGGTCCCTGTGATGTATAATACGTGTATGCTGACATTCCCTGGTCCCTGTGATGTATATGTGTATGCTGTCATTCCCTGGTCCCTGTGATGTATAATACGTGTATGCTGACATTCCCTGGTCCCTGTGATGTATCATATGTGTATGCTGACATTCCCTGGTCCCTGTGATGTATCATATGTGTATGCTGACATTCCCTGGTCCCTGTGATGTATCGTATGTGTATGCTGACATTCCCTGGTCCCTGTGATGTATAATATGTGTATGCTGACATTCCCTGGTCCCTGTGATGTATAATACATGTATGCTGACATTCCCTGGTCCCTGTGATGTATCATATGTGTATGCTGACATCTGCTTTAAGATGCTCAATTTAATCAGACATGTGACAGACTTGTGGTAGACAGTTCTGTAACTGACTGATATCTGACAACAGACAGGTGACAGACAGACAATAAAGAGATATGTGGCAGAAAGATATAAGACAAGTGACCCAGACTCGTAGCACACAAAAATGAAACATTTTTGTAACAGTCAACACATTTCCCATGTTTTATTGTTCTTCTTGTGTCCCGAAGACCCAGAGTTTATCAGATTTTCAAGATCCCACAGAATCCTTGTGATCGCAGGTTGCTTTAAAGCCGAGATGTAGCCCCCTAACCCCCTCAGCTCAAATGTCCCACTCACAAGTCAAGGTAATGCCAGAAATGCGGACATAAGGATATCAACAAAGACCAATGTGGCATCATTCAACAGTGATCATCAATCAATAATTATGTTTTAAAACAAACACCACAGTCGTTATCTGTAAGACTTCCTTGTGTGGGTTCCAGGGCCCTATTGTGGGGGAAACAAGACCAGACTGACTCCCCACCAGAGTTTTCCTCCAGGAAACAAGAACAGACTGACTCCCCACCAGAGTTTTCCTCCAGTAAACAAGAACAGACTGACTCCCCACCAGAGTTTTCCTCCAGGAAACAAGAACAGACTGACTCCCCACCAGAGCTTTCCTCCAGTAAACAAGAACAGACTGACTCCCCACCAGAGTTTTCCTCCAGTAAACAAGAACAGACTGACTCCCCACCAGAGTTTTCCTCCAGTTTACAGCCAGACAACAACATAAAGGAGACTTGGTCTGTAACACAGTCTCTATACATCATCATATTATAAACATCACCATATTATAAACATCACCCTTGGTGATGCTGTGGCAGACATTTAGTTCAGCTAACTTACTGTGGACAACTTGGAGTCACTGAGCATAAAATAACTGAAAAACTGGACGTGGTCACTCAAGCAGATAGGGCAGTGCATTCACGTGCCCCATCATTCACACACTGGAGCATCAGCCTGTTTGTTCATTAGCTACTAACCGTAAAACAGCAATGCTTCTTTTTTTTCCTTCACTATCTTCGTTACATATGAAACATGATAACAAAATTGGCAATATTTATTTATTTTATTTTAAAAAACTCGTAAATAAATTTATGTTCTCTATGAGAATCTATACAATTGTTAGCTGATCACACTCACACACGTGTTACACGGTGACACACCGTTTGCCTGCCTGGAAATATCGACGGCACAACAAGCAAATGTGACAAGAAGATTAAATGATTGACTCTGAATCCAGGGTGAAAGAATCAAGACCATCAAATTGATGATCAACTAGGTGTGAGATATCCCAACTGGGACTTCCAGTACGTGGGCCTATCGCCGACAACAACTAGGCGGCCAACACTGAAATAAACACGGGACATATTTACCCGAAGATAATGGTGTCTGTGTGTTCCACGACTCGGCCAGCAGAAACTCGACCCTCCGCTCGGCTGTGAGCTCACATTGACGTACACGAGCAGGTTTCTACTGGTCGACTAGACTGTCCACTACACACTTTCAGCGCCATGTTTTCATGAGTATACAGGGGGAGGGAGGCGGCAGGAGCAGGGTCGCCAGGTGGCGCGCTGTAACAATGGGAGAGGGGGCTGTGGTTGTATAGGGCTTGCCTGTGGGCGGCCAACAACAAGTGGCAGGACTGCAACAATAACAACAAGAGCGGAGTTTCTCTCTCTCTCTCTCTCTCTCTCTCTCTCTCTCTCTCTCTCTCTCTCTCTCTCTCTCTCTCTCTCTCTCTCTCGGCGTCGCTGCTCCAGGCAGCTGTTCCCTGGCTTTTGTTGTATAGGGCCCGTCTGTGAACAGGGCGATCAACAACAAGTGGAAGACTGCAACAACACTGGCGTCTCTCGGCGTGACGGCAACTTGTACCTGGTTATTGAGGCACATCACACTTTGGTAACACAGACTGGGGACGGGCACACCGACACACGGGATGAGGAACACCACACTTTGGTAACACAGACTGGGCACTGACACACCGACACACGGGATGAGGGACACCACACTTTGGCAACACAGACTGGGCACGGACACACGGGATGAGGGACATCACACTTTGGCAACACAGACTGGGCACTGACACACGGGATGAGGGACATCACACTTTGGCAACACAGACTGGGCACGGACACACGGGATGAGGGACATCACACTTTGGTAACACAGACTGGTCACGGGCACACCGACACACGGGATGAGGCACACCACACTTTGGTAACACAGACTGAGCACTGACACACCGACACACGGGATGAGGGACACCACACTTTAGTAACACAGACTGGGCACTGACACACCGACACACGGGATGAGGGACACCACACTTTGGTAACACAGACTGGGCACTGACACACCGACACACGGGATGAGGGACACCACACTTTGGTAACACAGACTCGGCACTGACACACGGGATGAGGGACACCACACTTTGGTAACACAGACTGGGCACTGACACACCGAC